AAAGGGCTTTAGCCCAGCTTTAATATGGTCTCAAAACCTAATGCCTGGTTCAGATTACACGATTTTAGCCCGATTTTGGCACAATCCGTTTGACGTAGGGTGTCATGGGGATTCGTAAACGTGTGTCATCTCGTATAGTGTGTCATACTGGGCGACAACCAAATGCTTCGCGACAAAAAGACTAGCATGTTTCATTTTTTAACGGTCGTCCACGACGGTTACGTCACATGTATGAGGTTGACCAATAGGAGCACAGAAGCTTTTCCGTACACAACTTTCAAAAATGGTGAAAATAAAGTTATAAATATATATATATATAATTCTACACATACATATAATTATTATTATTATTTTTTTATGAAAATTCTGCCTTGTTTATACTTTCGTTCATGCACACCAGAGTATCTGCAGAGGTGTTGACGTGTCAAAGTTCATTTGGAGCACTCGCATTACGTACTCCTGCACAGGAAAAAAGACAAGCAAATGCATATTTCAAAGCATTTCTACATTTGCTTAATTCATTTTTATGTTCATTCTTTGCTTGTTAAGCCAAAATATAACTACATACTATTAACCCTCAAACCGTATTCACTTTACAGCCCTTAATCCTGTAATTGTGGACAAATGTGGGCACAGAGGACTCAAGTGTGATCCTAATTTCTATTTATTATAAATGTTATATCTTCGTTATATCTTCATTATCTTCGATAAAGTTTTGTCTATCCATTTATGGTGTTTTTTTATTTTGGTCGTATTTTTTAATTTATTTATTTCAAAAAGTACCATATTTTCTATGTAAATTATGCTTATTTTTATGTTTTTTTTTTAACTACATTAAAATATCATTCCGATAAGTTCTTAGAGCTAAAACCTAAAGATGAAGTGACTGCTGTCACCTGGTGTCTTGTTTTGGGTTATTTTAGAATGCTCTAAATTACAGTTTTTCCCATTCATTTCTATGGGTGCCCATTTTTGACCCAAACACAAGATTAAGGATTTTTTTTTTCACCCACTTAACATTGTAGAATTGAGTTTAAAAAAAATTGTGTGTGTTCAGGAGGTAAACTTAGGAAAAGTAGCCAAGTCTTGTACCGCTCAGATCAAGGAAAGTATTTTTTAAAAATAAATCAAAACTATTTTGCCCACATTTGTCCAGAATACGGTTTTAGGGTTAAATAATGGCACATTTCAAGATGCCCCCTCATAGTGTTGTCACGGTACCAAAATTTCAGTATTCGGTACCAATACCAGTAAAAATTCACGGTTCTCGGTACCAATTTCGGTACCAAAGCTTAGTTTAAATTTACATATATTTAAGTGTTTATCACGGTTACAAGTATGGAAACTGTACATTTGTATTATAAACACTTTAGAAAAAGATTAGATAAAATGACCTAAAATAAACAATAGTATACACTAACACATTTTTAAAGTTGTTTGTAAAGTTTTAATCCATTATTTATTTAATGCACAATGAATTAAGTGAACAAACATGAACAATCAGGTGTTTGTAATAAATAACATTTTCAAAGATTAATTAATGTTGTAAAAATATATTGTTCACTCAATGTGTTGATAACTAAGTAATGTTGATGAATGGTATCTTTGTAGCATTACCATAAAACATGTTTTTTTTTAAAACATGTCCTTTTATTTCATCTAAAACTGCATTCATATTTAATTTTAAAAAGGCTTTTTAAAAGCTTTTTAAACCTGCTGAGTTATAAAGGCAAGAATACACCTAGAACTGGCATTGACATTAAATGACAATACTAATACCAGTAGCCTACTCTGGTGTCGGGTGGATACTACTGTGCTCATGTACTCGTAAAACTACCCCGAAAGCACTTTAGAGGCCGTTCACATGTCGCGCGTTTTTTTTAATTATATTTTTGCGCGTGCTTATTCTTTCCAAAGCGCTTGCTCTCACGCGGCGTCTGTCGTTGCTATGCAACGCCAACGAGTTTTTATTATGAGCGCGCTTGAATCGCGCCTATATTTGAAATTGCGAATTTGCATGTAATCGGCCTCTTATGGCAACGTGACATTAGCCTAATCCAAAATATTTCCATATGTGGCTCTTTCCTCCTTTCGTTTCAACAAGTGGATTCAGAGAGAGAGAGCCATATCAGCGTTATAAAGAGGTGCTGTGCACGTTAAAGAGGTAAACTGTGCACGTTTCAGACATCGCGTCTAGAACAGAACTGGATTAACTACTCGGTACCTAGAAAAGCTGGTACCGTAACATTTTTTTTTTTTTTAGTACCGACTTGGTACCGAAGTACCGAGTTTTTTGACAACACTACCCCCTCATAGTCGACTAAATGTTAGTCGACGAGAAGAGGTTTGGTCGACTAAATTATAATTAGTCAGTCGCAGAAAGAAAAAAAAAAACCTCCATGAAGTGACAACAGACTACAAACTACACATCATCATCAGCATGATTGATTACAGCTTTGTTTAATAATCCCTAGTTGCTCGAGAGCTGTGTGACCTTTGACATATTGTAAGTTGCTTTGGATAAAAGCATCAGCTAAATGAATAAATGTAAACGTATATTAAATCTAAAATGGAATCTATTAGATTGTGGTTGTCATAAGCAGGCAATTGTGACTTGGCCGAGCTGTGATATAAATGAAACGCTATTGGCTATTTTTAAAAAGGGGAGGAGTTGCTCAATATGTCCCACCCTGGCTTTCGGCTTCATTGGGAGTTCACTTTGTGTTTCAAGGCAGTTCAGTGGGCCTTTAAATTAATGACTAGTCTAGATTAAGTGTTACATTTTTAGGATCGTCACACATACTGTTCATTACATTCCAATGAAACGCTGAAATCTGAGTCTTGATTAATTTCGATAGAAATTGTGTTCCGCTAAGCCACTGCGCTCAAGCTGAAAGAAGTTCTACAAAAAAAATTGTTGAAACCACCAGAAACCTATCCAGTTGCCTTGGTGACACCACCATGAGTACCATAGAAATGTGAAAATTTGAACTGCAGCATCTTTTGTACACAGAGCAACACTTTTAAAAACCATTAAAAACTCTTGTACACCGAAAACTGACATTCAACACAAATGAAACTCACTGGTGCATATGCTTCCCCATTAACACAATACGTGTTTGAGTGTGGGAGGGCTGCATGCCCACATGATGTTATATGCAGACTGCAGTCAGTGTGACATTTTAACATGGGTAAGAGACAGTTGTTCCTGTGTCTCGCTCTCATCTGTCACCTCCTCCATTCACCTACCATTACTTCCCCTTCACCACATCAACAACACACATATGTGCTGATTAATTGATTTTGTATTTTGTTTGCAGTGCTAATTGTCCTGCTGTTCTTATGCAGATGAATTAAATTAACTGTGGGGCTAGAGTGAGTCTACACATGGTACATGGTATACATGCATACTGTGTAGTTTTTCACAATTTTAGAAGTTTTTGATCTTTATTCTATTTTAAAGAGTGTTCTATGGAAAAACAAACTTACGAGTTAGATTACATATATAGTCTTATACCCTAAACAAGACTGAAAATGCAAAATCATAATTAGATTTGGAGACTTCTGCTTGGCTTGTTTTTGTAAGGACATTTTGACGTTTAAACCAGATGAAAATTATTTATTTCAGGAGTGGACAAACATTTTTACATGAGTTTCTTTTCACTATATTTAAAGGGATAGTTCAGTTTGCCCACTGACTACCAAATGATATGCGGAAAATATACTATGGAAATCAGTGAGGCCCATCAACTGTTTGGTTACCAACATTCTTCAAAATATCATCTTTTGTGTTCAGTGAAAGAGAGAAATTCATACAGGTTTGGAAGAACTTGAAGGAGATACTGACATGATTTTATTATTATTTTTTTGTGAACAATTCCTCTAAAGATGTAACATTTTTATGCTGCGAATTATGTGCCAATATTAAACAAACAAATCCAGCATCTGGCAAACAAACTCGATCTGCTTTGCAAAGGAAAACCCGACTCGCAAACAAACGGAAAGTAATTTGCAAAAACAATGGAAAATTTGAGCGAAAATGCAGTGGAATAACCAATATTATGTTTTACAAGTATAAATAAATGAGCCTAGATAATAGGCTATTTCACAAGTAAACACAAACCATCCAACAAATTGCATGTAACCTTTGAACAAATACTAAATCTAGTGCAAATGCATATCTGTCTGTTACGATTGTGATATCTCTCGGCTTGATTATGCAGATGAGTAACTTCCTCCTCTGAAGATGACGGTTAGCTAAGGTATGGGATTAATTTAGAGCTAGTTGAGGAAAAAGTCTTACTCTATCAATGTAAACATGACACAATATACGATTGTATATTTGTAGGGTTAAATATACATCAGCTTTGTCTTTTACTCTTTTTTTTTTTTTTTTTAATCTTGAACCCCCTGTTGCAAAACACTAAAATCAGACACAATGTTTTTTTTTTCTTTTTTTTTTCTCCAGGGATCTAAAATCGCTTAAAAATTAACCAGTGTTGTTAGAAAAGCTACTGTTTAATTTAGAGACCTTCATGTTTTTAATGGCTGAGGCTCTGCAGTAAAACCTTTTTAAAATTCCTCGCTGTGCTAAGGCACCTTTTTAGAGCAAGATTTCACTTTCAATATTTCCGCATGAGTTTTCTCAAGAGAAAAAAAATAAAAAATCTGCAGCCGGAGGAGCCCTGTCACAGTTCTGTGGAGTGAGAGGGTGGCTTGCATGCATGTCTTGTTTAAAAACTCCCAAAAATCCAATGCAATCTCTGCAAGTCTCGTTTTACAGAGCTATTGCATTATAGCAAAGGTTTTTTCAAAAATCTGCAAGGTAATTTGAAATAAGATCAACTAAATATAGACTTATGTCAGGATGCCAAAAAGAGCCTATAAAAACCTACTTCAGCATTTACATTCAGGGTTGCATTAATGCTAATGCTGTTGGAAGACACTTAAATCTGATTTATTGCTGACTAACTTCTTGATCTGTTCTTGCTTGCTTTCAGATGGTACCATGGAATGTTGGACAGAACCATTGCAGAAGAGCGATTGCGTCAGGCTCGGACACCGGGCAGCTACCTCATCAGGGAAAGCGACCGCCGGCCTGGCTCCTTCGTACTGTCCTTTCTCAGCGTGACCAATGTGGTCAATCACTTCAGGTGAGCAGTGCTGACTGGATCATACTGTTTCACTGATGCGCACAAACCCCATTGCATTTCACAAAATTTGGTGTCCCCTCAAGCAGACAATTGTTGTACAATAGTCATTGTTAACTATTTAAACGTACATTGTCCTGCACTGTATACTATTTATATGACTGATGCCTCAAATCACGTGAACAGGTCCTTTTACTTTTCTAAATGATCAGAATTTTAAACAATAATACAGCCCACAAAACCCTTAGACTTGCATGGATGTTGGCACTGAAGCATATTTTTAGACCAGAATATTACAGAGACTTGTAAAGCAGTAAAGCAACTAACCAGAACAGTCTTCAGTGTCACATGATCCTTCAGAAATCATTCTAATATGCTGATTTTGTGCTTCAGAAACATTTCTTATTGGTATCAATGTTGTAAACAATTATGCTGCTTAATATTTATGGGGAAATTTGATACAACTTGTCAGGATTCTTTGGTGAATAGAAAGAAGTGTTAATTTGAAAAATAAATCTTTTGTAACATTATAAATGTATTATAAATGTATTTACTGTCACTTTTGATCAATTTAATACATCTTGCTGAACAAAAGTGTTAATTTCTTTACAAAAAAGAGAGAAATAATACCTTGATGACCCCAAACTTTGGGATGGTAGTATATACATTTAATCATTTGGCAATGTCAAATGTATTTCTAGAGCACAGTTTAAAGCAACTTCAAGTTGACCAAAGAAAGTTCTTTACATTGATACATATTTAACAGCATAAAAAAAAAAAATTATATAAATCTCTAAAATGCATTAAAAGCCAAGGAAAACAAATGAGTTATTAGTTTCGATTACAAATTAGAATGTTTTTGAGCAGTTCTGTCACATTGGAAGGCTATTATTCCACAGTTTAGGGGCAATAATTGAAAAAAGCCCAATCCCCTGTCAATTTTAGTCTTGCCCTAGGAACGGTCAATAGCCTATGATCAGAACATCTGAGGCATCTCGAATGGACAAAAGTCTTAACAGATAAGTAAGTGGCAGTCCAGTCAAAGCAAGTGAAATAATCTTAAAGCTGCAGTCCGTATCTTTTTTGGGTTTAAAATGATCCAAAATACATTTTTGAGAAAATACATAACCAGCCAGTGTTCAAAACTATCTTCTTGCCATAGCTCAATTCAAAGCGGTAAGCTTGTAATAATGTTTTTAATTCCAGTGTTTCTGGTGGATTTCCGCAGGAGATTCAAGCATGTCTTTGCCTCATTACGCCACGTCTGTACACATAAAGAGTCTCGGCTAGTAGGCTATATTGCGTGTGAGGATGCTGAAGGTGGAGATTTTTCTCATTGTACTTGATATAATTAAACTTAACTAATAAGTTTGATGGCGGATCCAGAAAGGTTCAAATGACAATCACCGGTGATCACCGGTGAAGACTCACCCGCTGTAAAATGCAAAAGACTTCGAACTTCGGATTGGCTTACTAAAAAAGAGACTTAAACCGGACACATACGAAAACAAGGATACATATCGGAAGAACATTACATGTAGTCACACAATGCTGATGTTGTTAACATTATCAATTTGAGATAATAAACTATAATTTGCACGGTTTTGCGTGATATGAAAAGCGATTTTTAGATTTAATCAGCACGATTTACTGCAGTGTCAGAACCAGAACAAAAGTGGATGTTTCTTTACTTGTTCAGGGGACATTTTCCAGTGAAAATTATTATATAGGTCATACTTCCAAAAAGAATAATCTGTGAATATCAATGAATATCAGTATCCACACTGGCACGGCGATTGACAGCTGCACTTTCTCCTCTAACATTGGATTCATCTGCGCTGTGCGGAGTAGGGATGGCTCGATACCACAATTTTGGCTTCGATACGATACCAGAAGCTAATACCTCGGTATCGATACTAAATCGATACCACAGTCGGGAAAAAAAAGTCTAAATTTAAGTGAATTGAAACAATTTTATTAAACACTGCTTGAAACTCTCAACTACCATATGTGCAAAGAAAAGTATCCCAAAAAAAAAACATATCAAAATTTAAAAAATAAACAAATTATGTGTAGGTAAAATTTTGATTTGGGGAAAAAAACACTGATATTATACAATTAAAATAGGTTAATATCTATAATAATAGATTAACATAATAGAATAATGAAATGACGTAAACACATCAACAGAGAATTATCAACATTTATTGCATTGATTCATCTTGGTTTGGTTACTGTTTGTGTTCATTATATGCATATAATGCATTGCAAAAAGTAATGTTATGATGCTAAACATTTATTAGGATATTACATTTTTAGGTCATTTAATTACTGATTGATCTAGATTAATCAATGCTATATTGTTAGTCCAAGTTCCTTAGTGAATGTTGACAAATGTAGCTTAATTGTAGGCTAATATTATTAATATTTATCTCTCTCTCTCTCTCTCTCTCTATGGGTCGCCACAGCGGCAGTAATGCCATTCATTTTACTATCACTTTTGTGCTTTATTAATTCAAATTAAATGAATATATTTGTTTGAAACTGCAAAAATGATGAGATCATGAGACGGTAACTGAATTGGTTCTAGCGTGTCATGCAAGAAGATTTGAGCTTTCGTGTTTACCGTATCATATTTAATTGATAAGCTCTTATGTATGTGCGCTGTTAAGTGTTTAATAAAAGTCTAAATTAAATCAGTTGAATGATGAACTCACCAGTTGATCTCTTGAACAAGTCAGGATGAGCAACTGATGAGTGCTTTGGCAGATTTGATGTGTTGCATTCCATGGCAACACATTATTGAAAGCAAAGTTTGCAGAGTGGTGCATTGAGGTCTGTTTCTACACTATTCTCATTAATTTAGTAGGCAAAGTAATGCCTTATTTCACTCATACTGCTCTCTCTATTTATTAATTTCGGGCGTGTAGAAATCCGAATGAGCTTCATTTCCACCGTGTTCCTTCGTTTGCCGGTTTCACGTGACTCGCGTCAGTTTCGGTAGCGCACTGCCGCCTAGTGGAGAACTTCGGAACAGCAGCTCATCAAATACCGAATTTAACAAAATGATGATATTGTACCGTTTGAAATTTATTATATACCGGTATTTTTGCAATAACGGTATACTGCGCATCCCTAGTGCGGAGTCGAAGCACAACTCGCGTAAAGTTGATAATTTCCACAAATGACTGCAATTGCAGATTTCAAACAGAGATGGCGACAAAGAGGAAAAACTGTGGACTGCAGCTTTAAAATCAGTTCTATAACAGACAGGAAGCCAATGAAGGGTCATTCACACTAGTGTAATGTAATCATATTACACCCCTCCCCCCAAAAAAGAAAAAAAAAATAGGTAATTGTGTACACCCAACACCAACATAAGTCTTTATAATTTTACAACATTTTGAAGTCGAGAAAATAGATAGTTGGTTTTTACCTACATAAGAGATTTGCAGATTTCAGCAATGGATAAATGGATTTCTAGCCCTTGCATGAGCTCCGCTACTAGATATATTTATAAGAAAGATAAGAAAACACCCTGCACTGTACAGCTATCATCTGATGTCCGTGCCTTTTGGCTAAGCTTTTAGTGTTGTTACGGAAAGGGTGAAGCTGGTTCTTGTCACATGACCTCCAGTGTGTTTGCGGCATTCTGAAAAGTTAAGTGTTTTTTTTTTTTTTTCACATAAAGAAACAAGCAATAAACAAACGAACACACGTCTTGTAGTAAAATGTATCTTATCCCCATGATGCATGCTTCTAGTTGCATACGTCTACACAACTGCAAGTGCTTTGCTGTTAAATGTATTTGGAATGAATCATTTTAATGAAGTAAGGCAAAACACTTTTCTTCTTTGTGTGTGTGTGTTCAGGATCATTGCGATGTGTGGAGATTACTACATCGGTGGACGACGCTTCTCGTCCCTGTCAGACCTCATTGGTTACTACAGCTATGTGTCTTGCCTACTCAAAGGGGAAAAACTGTCGTCTCCAGTGGCTCCCCCAGAGGTACGATCAGAACTTCTGACTCTCGAATGACTACAAGTTTTTTTTTTCACTTATTTGTTGCTGTATCTAAGGTTGTAGATCAAGAAGCAGGATTGGATTTTGTTACTCTTTCAGTGCTGATAATCATAGCATTATGATTATCAGAATTGTCCCTTGTGGTGTTGCTAAAACCTCTTATTCTCCTTCCAGCCAGTGGAGGACAGGCGAAGAGTGAGGGCCATACTTCCATACACCAAAGTGCCAGATACCGATGAGATCAGGTATAAAAACCTTCTTAAAAGTCATCCTACCTCATATTTCACAATCCAGTCTGAAGTGTCTAACTGTGTCCTGCCTGTTTGTGGGAATGGAATTTAAACTCATGTCAATGTTTGAAACAAAGGCTGCATGATTAATCATATTTTAATTGCAATCATGATTTCTGCTTCTGAATTAATTAAGCATTTCTGCGATATTAGACCAAAAAGAAAACATGCATTCAATTCATACATTTTAGTACTGGTTTGCTTATCATTCACAGTGTCAGTTTTAAGACTGAACCTAATACAAAACAAAAACAACTAAGAAACTGCTTTTGTCAGGTTTATTTTTCGACGGAACTTACAGCAAACTTCCAAAACAATACTGTGAACTGGGCTAAATGCACTTGTTGATGGTATTTTTTATCAGCTGAAAACTCACAAGGAGCTTATAAAATGTGTTGTACATAAACGAAGATCTGCTGCAAGGAAACGCGGTTCAGAAGCTTGAACTGAACTGTAACAGGCAATGGGGCACCTATGATAAGGAAAACCTGGCATTCTTGAGCATTCTGTTCTCTTTAGGGTCTCGTGACATCAAATCCTGTTTTTGGTTCTCCAAGATGCCTTTGGTCCGTGTTGTGCAGCTTGCATTCATATTTCAGTCAAACTGCAATAGGTTGTTTGGAAAACCCCATTTTTTAGGGGTCTCAGTCCTCCAGTTTTGTGCTCACCAGGCTTAGAGTGGCACTTATCCAAATAAAGTGTGAACAAAACCTTAATGTATATGACAAATATAATCATTCAAGTAACCAGATGAGGTCAAATCCTGCATATAATTTGGCATTCTCTTGATTTGTGCTTTAGTGAAAGTGCAATAATTCTCTAAAAACGAGAAAAATCGTGATTACTTCAGTAATACCACTCCATCCGTTTCACCATCCAACTATTTATCCTATGTAGTATGGATACAATTCTGACGTACTGCATCCACCATGTGACCTTCAATGTCAGCCTTGTCTCTGTTTCCCACCATTTATGCTTGAGATGAATTACCTCTTGCCTTATTATGCAATATTAGGGTGTCCGTCAGACTTCAGACTTCAGACTTCATCCTTTGGGTGGATTCTCATTTCACATGCTAAGCAGGCATATTCGGATGCGTGGCAGTTCTTGGAGCCTCTAATGAGCTGGTGATAGAAATCAGTTGTTAAATAAGAGAGACATCCAAAATGTGCAGTGCTTGGCAACTCCAGGATCAGCATTGAGATGGTTCACCTGAGCAGTTGGTTTACATAATCTCCCCCTGTGGTGTTCAGTGGCACGTACAGGAAGCTACAAAAAGTAACTGTACAGGAAAGCAATTTAGATTGCAAGAAAAGCTGGAAAATCCTGTATAACAGACCAATTCCCACCCTAAATTTAAGACCCTTTTAAATAGCATTTAGAGCACTTTAAGCCACCAGCAATTTAAAAATATCAAAAAGTATTACTTCCCACAGGGACCCTGCAGTAACTTTGAAGTTTTCTGCAAGTCAGTAACAGATGTTTCCTGCTAATCACTTTATTGTCACTTTTACTTTCAAAATGCTAATTTTGAAAAACGATTATCTGAATGGATTGAATAACTTTTTATATCCTTATAAATATTTTGTCATTTCACTCCATCGTTTATTTTCTACTTTATTGTGTGTCTCAAGTTTTCTCAAAGGAGACATGTTTATCGTTCACAATGGACTGGAGGATGGGTGGATGTGGGTGACCAATGTTCGGACAGAAGAACAGGGCCTTATCGTGGATGATCTTGTGGAGGAGGTGGTAAGTGTCCCTGAGCTTTTGTCCTGTAAATACTCTTTACAAAGATTTGATAATTTGCATATTAAATAATTGATTTATTTGAATGTATTCACAGGGACGAGAAGAGGATCCGCATGAGGGAAAAATGTGAGTACATTTAGTCTAAAACAATATATCTGTTGCATTTTTAATAGCCCTCCAAACATGGGCACTATTAAAACATTTACTATAGAACAATTAATTATTTTATATTATTAATCTTTCTTTTTTAATACATGGTTACTTTTGAATGGCTGTCAATAGAGAAACAGGATTTTTTTTTGCAGTCATAATGGTATATTTACGACGTGTACCAGAAAAAGTTTAATATAATCCTATCCAAATTGACCAGAATAAATTGCTCAGAACCATGAAGTGATTATTTTCTCTGCTGCCATCTTTGTTTAGCTTCACATATGTTTCTCTTCTGCACAGTTTGTTTTAGTTAGTTAAGTGTGCCATGGCAGAAGAAGCATCTGTCAGATTCAGAGAGTAATGCTACTCTCCTGAGTATGAAGGAGAGGGTTTGAGCCTGAGGCTGTGGATCTGATCAGAGTTGATCCCTCGTCCTGTGACCGTGTTTGACTGCTCTGACTCAGACCTGACTCACAGGGCCTGCGCTGTCCTCTCTGCCCTGCTTACTTGTGTCTCATTTCCTGTTTCCCTTTTGTTTTTCCTTTTCTATCTTCATAGCTGGTACCACAGGAAGATCAGCAAACAAGAGGCGTACAACCTGTTAATGACAGGTACATGAGTGTGACAACAAATGCTGGTGGCTATTGCATGTTTGTGTAATGAGCATATTATAAATATATAACCTAACAGGTGATTTCAACTCAAGTGATGTGCTCAATGCATTTTACTAGCATGCGTTATTCAAGGAATAGTTCCTTCCAAAATGAAAATTTCGATTTAGTTTCCAATATTAGTTTTTTTTTTCCTTCCCTTTTTCACTTTTCAGTGTCAGTTAAAATTGGATCTTTTATCTCTTATTTGCCAAAATAATTATTGGCCTATCAGTTTATTTACTGTTGGAGGAACAGACTAAATGGTGTCACGACTTCCATTTTTGGGCTAACTATTCCTTTAAATCATGGAATTGTGCATGTGTTTAGCACTTTTGATTTATGAACGCATTAAATGCATCATAAAAAGGCATTATATGCATCATTTGTCATAGTTGGCCGGACTCAAATGCATTAGCATAGATCACAAACTTTTAATATTTCCAAACCTAAAAGAGGCAAATTCATCAAAGATTATTTTATGTTAGAGTAGGACAGAAGCTGTTATTATTTCATATCTGCCATTTAAAGGGTTATTTCACCCAAAAAGGACATTTCCGTCATTAATTACTCTCCCTCATGTCGTTCCAAACCCGTAAGACCTTCGTTCATCTTCGGAACACAAATGAAGATATTTTTGATGAAATCTGAGAGCTTTCTGTCCTTCCATTGGCAACAACGTCATTGCAACTTTCAAGGCCCAGAAAGGTAGTTAAAACTGTTAAAAATAGTCCATGTGACTACTAGGGGTGGCACGGTTCACAAAACCCACGGTTCGGTTTGTATCACGGTTTTAGGGTCACGGTTTTCGGTTCTGTACGGTTCTTGTTATTTTTTCTTTTAATCTTTAACACTCCAGAAATGTACTTCAGCATGTGATATATAGCTTAATAATCCACACTTTAGGATACAGTATTAAAAAAATATATATTATATTCATGCAATCATGCACAAACTGAATTTGACTCTTTGACTTTAAGCACATTTTGGGACTATCTCAGAGGAAAGCTAGGTGAGATTTAGATACAGCAAGAGAGAAGAAATTGACATGCTTTTTGTTTATTTGGCAAAAAAAAGGAGAATGTGTATCACTATCTCTACAAGAACTTTTTTCACATAATTTTTGCATTTTTAAAAAAGCACATGCATTTTTATCACATAAATCTTATTTACACAAAGAAATTAACTTTCATGTATCAACTGCTAACTTTTGTAGCTCTTACCAAAATTCTATCTTTTAAAAGAAAAAGAGAGGAACTCTTAAAACACTGTCTTTTAAATGTCAATATACATGAAACCTCATTGCCTATAGATAATTTAGCTATAGCAATAGCAAAGGCCATAAACATAAAGTGAAATTTAAGTTCAACCTCAACACAAAAACAGTATCAACAATGGTTCTATTCCCAAAATGTGAGGGTACTTTTTTCCACTTAAAATTAAAGTGCAGGGTTTGACTGAAGCTCTTATCTATACATAAAGTGCCACTGTAGCGTTATATTAAAATATCATAACATGAAATCCAAAATGTTCCCACACACTGGACTTATACCATAGACACGACGCTGGCGCATCCTCCAACTCCCTCATCTCTCCCACTTGCCATTTCTCCGCGTGCCGTGACCTGCAGCGCTCGATACTCCACTTTTACTGGCTTGTTTATTAACTTGAACCGGCGCTGCACAGAGCGATCGGTAATGACATCAAATACCGCGAAAGTGATGAATGCATACGGAGCCGACTCGCGCTAGATTGATGTTATTCACCGATCGCTCTGTGCAGCGCCGGTCCAAGTCGAACAAGTTTATGTCGCGCGGAAAGAAAACACACGTCACATACGGGCACGAGGCGCATGCGTCGAACCGTGAGACGCACACACGCTCCGAACCGAGACAAGCGAACCGAACGGTTCGGGTGTTTTTTCATGTACCGTGCCACCCCTAGTGACTACAGTGGTTCAACCTTAATGTTAAGAAAGGACGAGTATACTTTTTGTGTGTTAAAAAACCCCAAAGAACATGATTCAACAATCTTTTCCACGTCATACTCCTGCGCTGTAGTAGTGTAAAGAGTGCAGCGCTTCTGAGTTCTACGTCAATGTCAATGTCAGTAGTGAGCCTTTGTTCTGACGTCAAAAGCACTTCTGACTCTGTTTTTCTGCTCTCCAGTTGGCCAGGTCTGCAGCTTTCTGGTCAGGCCGTCAGACAACACACCAGGCGACTACTCCCTCTTCTTTCGTACCAATGAAAACATCCAAAGGTTCAAGATCAGCCCCACTCCCAATAACCAGTACATGATGGGAGGGCGGTACTATAACAGGTAGGACTGCAGGCAAAGGTTTTAAAATGCCGCGACACTGCTTATGTTTGATCTGCCTGAAAATGTCCCCTTGTAACTTGTATCCTGCTTTGAAGCACCTTCCCATTTATCAGGATAGCATTGATAACCTTAATAACCCAGGATTCTTGTGACATTGAAGACTCATAATGATACAGAAAATTCAGTTTTGCATCACAGGAATAAACTTTAAAATGTATTAAAATAGAAAACAGTTGTTTTAAATTGTAATAATAATATTTCACAATATTACTGTTTTTTTTTTGTAAATAAATGCAGCCTTGGTGAGCATAAGAGACTTATTTTAAAAACATTTTGAACTTTTTGAACATTTTGAAGTTCCAAACTTTTGAACTTTTGCAGTGTTTGTGTGTGTATATATATATATATATATATATATATATTATTTGGTTGCAAGACGGTTCCACATTTCTTACTATTACAATTTTAATACAAACTAATACCTCACTTATGCGTTTGATTATTACATACAAAGTTTGTGCATGCACATAATAAAATATTAATATACCGGCAAATATAAACTAAAGAGATTTCAGTCATATGCTCCAAAATTGCAATTTTTGCTGCCTGTCTGAAAGCATTTTATGTTATTAAACCCTGTCCCCATATATTGTGCCTCAGAGCTGATTTAATTAAAATTGTAATACTTTTTAATTTTGCACACTGTAATGAAAAACCACTCAGCTCTACATCCAGCTGGTCTCTAATTGAATAATGCTCTTCCCGGCAGTGTTGACGATATTATCGAACGTTACCGAAAAGAGCAGATCGTGGAGGGCTACACTCTGAAAGATCCCGTCTCAGTCCAGGTAAAGGAAAGGTCATTCCAATAAGCTCAGATATCGCTGAAGATCATCTCAATAACAACCACAATACTGTTTCTATTTTGCCATTTAGCAAAAAGAACAAGTCCTCTCAGACGTAGTCGACGGCAGAGAAATCTATAACACTATTCGACGGAAAACAAAAGATGCTTTCTACAAAAACATTGTCAAGAAAGGATATCTTCTCTTCAACAAAGGTACCACAGGCTACTTTTTTTTTATGCTGCCAACTGCATCCATTGACTTTTTACTGATGATCAACATACTGTATAAGGCTGCTTGACAGTACATTTGTATTCAGTGCTAAATCTTTCTCAGTGGGTTGATCACAAGAGGATGTGGGTAATTTGTAGCACATGAGCCCCATCTGAGTGTGGTTTTGTCAAATCTTGACAGACTTTATCACCTGAGTAACACTCAGCAAGGCTCTTCACAAACCGCTCAGGATGAGCTACGCAGAACAAAAAGCAAAGCGTTTACCGGAAAACCTAGAGCTGTCCAGTTTAATGTGGCTTTGCTTAGTAAAGGCCAATTTATACTTCTGCGTCGAGGGTACGCCGTAGTATACGGCGTTGGCTTCGCACGTAGGCGACGCGTTGTGAGCATTTATACTTCTGCGTTCAAGTATTGGTTGCTCTGCAGTACTGCTCCGAAACGCTAGGAGGCGGCGGAGGGTTTTAATGTTCCACTGTGTTTATATTCCTCGCGGCTAGGTTACTACAAGCAATAGCGACTGAAAGAGAGTGGATAATGTTGGAGTTGGAGCTTATTGGGGTGGAAAAACAGTTCATTTTAGTGAAATTACTAAAACTGAAAGGCAGAAATGAGAGAAGACGTCGGAGAAGATAGTACGTGTGTAAATGCGTGAGAAGGTACGTGCGGAAATGCGTATGAGGAAATACGATGCTACCAAGCCGACCAATCACCGATCTTGCGGTCCGCGTCGTCGCGACGTGTAGTTACATTTTTGAAGAGGTGCGCGTCAGGCAACGCGGAAGGGTACGCGGTATGGGACGCGTCTGTGCGTATGGTACGCCGTACCTACTGCGCGCACCCTACGCAGAAGTATAAATTGGCCTTAAGAGATTTGGCACTCTGTGGGGTTTTCTCACTGATCAAAGGGTATGAATCTGAATTAGTTCTGGCACCTTGTCTGGTTAGTATTCAACTGTTGTATGTATTTAATATTCAGGTGGTTTAATGTGTATTGACGTCATTTTATCTCAGATCCTGGTTGTAATACATGGGCTCAAATTAAATTGTTACTATTGAAGACATAAATAAGTTTAATTTGCTCAGGCATTGTAGTAAATATACAGTACATGTACCTCAGTGTTCTGCATTCTAACTTCACACAGTTCTGAATGATTAGGGCTGAGTTGACAGTATAATTATATCACTTTTATACTTTTGAATCACTTAAAGGGCACCTATTATGCCTCTTTTTACAAGATGTAATATTGGTCTCTGGTGTCCCTCGAATGTATTTGTGAAGTTTCAGCTCAAAATACCCCACAGTTAATTTATTATAACCATTTGAAAATGTCATTTTGGGGCCTGCTTAAAAATGACCTGTTTCGGAGGTATACGGCTTTAAATGCAAATGAGCTGCATATCCCCGCCCTGCCTTTGGATGAGGGCGTAACTTGATACCTATGGCAGTCGGTAAGCAGAAGGGCTAAGAGAGTGAGAGACGCGCTGTTTTGAATGTCATTCAGCGTACGTTTGAATCGGAATATGTAAATAGTACGAAGAGACTCCGGCAGAATAAACATAAATGAGAATGGACCAGTACGTCTCAGTATGGTTATTTGATACATTTATGTACTTTAGCGTTGTAATCGCGTTCCCATTGAAATGATGGGCATGTGCAACACAGACACACATAAACACTAATGCTGGCGCAATTTTTTTGAAATTACATACACATACTGTGATAAAGTTTGCTACGTACAAGCGAAATTACATTTATGCGAGGGACGGGGACCATGTTTACTTGTCATACGGGTGCTTCTGTGGCAAATGTGAGGAGATGGCTAACATAAAGAACAACAACATATATGCAGTTTTTAATACAATATCTTTAAATATTTATAAACGTGTGGTTACACACTATACAAACAAGGTTTAAATTATATAGCCTAAACAGACATCCAACAACTTTAGACGCATTTGTTGTTGAATTGGCTGACATTGACTGAAAAGACTATTTGCTCAAAAATCATAAAACACACTTACTGTTACTGGATGTGACGGTGGATCGCAAACAGTAGATGACGATCCACAGTTGAGGATTAACTTTTAAGCTACAACAACAGGATTAACGACAGAACACTTATGTTTCCAAGAGACATTACCGGCTGTCGTCGTTGAAACAATGGAGGATGATGTGTACAGATCACAGAGGGCGGGGTCTAGGCCACAGCCACACTGTCAATCAAACCCCTGTCTCCCGTTCTACGTCACAAAGAGCTGAATCTCAGAACAGCTCGTTCTGAGGCAGTGCATATGATTTATTGAGATTGTAAAAAAACCACTGGGTGGATTTTTATCATTCTAGGGTGGTTTTGCTCACACACTGCCAACACACATTTATGTTTAAACACCATGTAAAAGTGAATTTTCCATAATAGGTGCCCTTTAATTTTGATACACTAATATCAATTCTTAACCTTCAAATCCTTCAAATGGTCTTCGTTTCCTGTTTACACTTCTGGGCTTCGGGGTCTATACGACCCCATCAATTGATTGAGTAATTGTACAAACAATATACATTTTGTTCATTATACAAATAATGTATAATTTTTTTCTTCTCATCTATTCATTAATGCTGTGTTTTTTGAGATATAAAGTGCTTTTGTATCCATATACCACATAATTCCTCAACACCATTAGCTTGCATATTAAATATTATTTGTTTTATGATACATTGCATTTTTGACGCATAAAGAAAATATATTTAGTTTTTTTTCTTTTTTTTCTTTCTTCATATTTCCCATTCATTTTAATGTGGGGTAATATTGACCCCGAAGACCAGAAGAGAAGTGTAAACATTTTTTTTTTTTTTTTACATACCTTCAGAAACCGATTCAAGCCCAGTTTTTGTGTGTGTGTGTGTGTGTGTGTGTGTGTAGATAGATAATGTATGAAAAGTCACAAAATCGTATTCCACTGTGACTGAGATGAAGGGAACCTTTTTTTATTAAGTAAAAGTCGATTGGGGTCGTATAGACCCCATGAGCTGATTGAGGGTTAAATCACAAGATCATTGTTTTAGTCTATGCTGTTTTATGTCGATGCATATACAAAAAAAATAATAATTTGCAGCCCTCCTGTCATCCAATAATAATAATATGCTTTTTTGGATCTCTTTAATGTGAGGTGGCTATATGAAGTTTAGGATGTAAATTCAGGAGGAGCATGTTCATGTAATCCAGTCATGTTCATACAGTATATAAGCTTACAAGCCCTATGTCGTCGCTCAAGCATCGCTCCTTCTCTATCTTAAGCCTACGTTTATCTTTCTATTCTCAAAGCGTGCTCAATCTCAATTTAAGAGTAAACTTTTAACAATGGACAGCAAGCCAAATCTGTTTACTTAACCTTCAAATTATACAAATAATGTATAATTATGATTGCCATTATGATTACATGATCATCAAGCGAACTAGTGAAAGTGTTGATCATCTCTTCCGCTTTACTACTAGTCATAGCATGAAATATACATGAATGAACAAAAGATACAGTACAACTTTCCAAAATGTATCATGTTTCATGTAATCACCCAATCAATGTTTCAACATAAAATCATGTAATGTTGTATTTACCTGAGGAAATCCATTCAAAGCTCGTAGCTCATTAGTCAACTAGAAAGAAAATAACTTTAGAGAGTAGCTTATTGTTTGAATAAATCTGTTGTGAAATCAAGTTATGATAGCCGCTGCTTAAATGTTCTACATTGTTTTATGTGGAAGCAAACATAATTATACCATTTAAAGAGTTAACACAGTTTAAATGTTTGTATACAGCTTTTGGTTGTTGATTTTCTATCTAAAAATGATAGGGTTTACAACTTCAGTTAAAGGAGACTTTTTTCCTCTAGAAAAATGTACATGTACTGTAATATATCCAAACGAATAGATGTCAAAATCAGAGTTGAATCATGAAACCTGTGTGAATACCACTCACAATTTCTGATGCATTTTCTTGTTGGCATTCAGCTGCTGTTCGTATTTTAGCATTCAACTAGTTGGATGTGTACTAAAATATTTTATTATACAGGCTCCCTGTGCAAAAATTATTATGCTTGTCTCTTAAAAATGCATGACATAAATAAATCAGGCGTTCTCCCATAGTTTGGTTCCATTGACCTGAATTTTTTATACCCTTTAAAATGGTAATGTAATTCAAAAGCAGCTTGCTCACCTTTTCACTTGTACTTCCACAGGTAAGGGCAAGCGCTGGAAGCACTTATACTTCATCCTGGAGGGCAACGACGCTCAGCTCATTTATTTTGAGAGTGAGAAGCGAGCCACCAAACCCAAAGGACTAATCGATCTGAGTGTGTGCTCTGTGTATGGGGTCCATGACAGTCTGTTTGGCAGGTAGGTGATTGTAATGCAACTCAAGCCACTGGTGTCCTTAAAGGAGAACTTGGTCTAATAACACATTGGTACCTAGTCGACCGTTCTCTGAGATTTGTTTTCATGATAATCGAATGTAAAGATTTTATCTCTAAAAACGTTTTAGCGTATAACGCTAGTATATGAATACCACTAACAAGGCTCAAAATAACCCCACACTAACACAGTAACATAATGAGGGTCCCTACATGCAAACCAAAGCATTGAGAACTTTGTAACTGTACAGACCGTTTAATAAGAAGATACTTTATAAAGACAGTACACTTTGTGTAAACAGGCAGGAGCCATCTTTGGAAAACAGTCTCGACAATTCGAATCTCAGAGAATGGTTGACTAGGTACCAATGTTTTATTAGACCAAATGTTCATTTTGCGCCAGAGTTCTCCTTTAATTCTGATCATTATTTGCTTGCAGATGATTCTTGGTTTGATTTGTTGTTTGTAATTCAATTCAATTTAGCGCCAATGTGCCATTTGCTGTTGGACATTACATGTTTTCTGTTGATTTTTTTGTCCAGGCCAAACTGTTTCCAGATTGTGATTCAGCACTTTAGCGAGGAGCAGTACATTTTCTACTTTGCTGGAGAGACACCTGAGCAGGCACAGGTACGTATCACTTCTACATAGTGTTGTCAAAAAACTCGGTACTTCGGTACCAAGTCGGTACTAAAAAAAAAAAAAATGTTACGGTACCAGCTTTTCTAGGTACCGAGTACCAGGTTAATCCAGTTCTGTTCTAGACGCGATGTCTGAAACGTGCACAGTTGCGTCCTCTTCATAACGCTGATATGGCTCTCTCTCTGAATCCACTTGTTGACACGAAAGAAGGAAAGAGCCACATATGGAAATATTTTGGATTAGGCTAATGTCACGTTGCCATAAGAGGCCGATTACATGCAAATTCGCAATTTCAAATATAGGCGCGATTCAAGCGCGCTCATAATAAAAACTCGTTGGCGTTGCATAGCAACGACAGACGCCGCGTGAGAGCAAGCGCTTTGGAAAGAATAAGCAAGCGCAAAAATATAATTAAAAAACACGCGCGCCATGTGAACGGCCTCTAAAGTGCTTTCGGGGTAGTTTTACGAGTACATGAGCACAGTAGTATCCACCCGACACCAGAGTAGGCTACTGGTATTAGTATTGTCATTTAATGTCAATGCCAGTTCTAGGCGTATTCTTGCCTTTATAACTCAGCAGGTTTAAAAAGCCTTTTTAAAATTAAATATGAATGCAGTTTTAGATTAAATAAAAGGACAGTCAAGTCAAATAAAACATGTTTTATGGTAATGCTACAAAGATACCATTCATCAACATTACTTAGTTATCAACACATTGAGTGAACAATATATTTTTACAACATTAATTAATGTTTGAAAATGTTATTTATTACAAACACCTGATTGTTCATGTTTGTTCACTTAATTCATTGTGCATTAAATAAATAATGGATTAAAACTTTACAAACAACTTTAAAAATGTGTTAGTGTATACTATTGTTTATTTTAGGTCATTTTATCTAATCTTTTTCTAAAGTGTTTATAATACAAATGTACAGTTTCCATACTTGTAACCGTGATAAACACTTAAATATATGTAAATTTAAACTAAGCTTTGGTACCGAAATTGGTACCGAGAACCGTGAATTTTAACTGGTATTGGTACCAAATACTGAAATTTTGGTACCGTGACAACACTACTTCTACATATATACTACTATTAAAATGCTTGGGGTTGGGAAGATTTTTTTAATGTAAATGTCTCTTATGCTCACTTAGGCTGCATTTATTTGATCAAATCTACAAAAAAAGGTTTGAATAAGTATTACAAGCTTTGGTTTCAATGGTTTTCAATGATTTAAAATAGTTTTAAAGCGTAAAGTTTGATGGTTTAGAAAGCAAGATAGATAGATAAGTTTGAACATTTCGTCGATGTAAGTCTATGGGATTTTTATGATTTTTAATCTTTATTTTTGTTTTCGGAAAACCATAAGTCAGATCAGTTAGAAAAGATATAGCACACTAAGTCTGAACGTCTGAGCTGAGTTTGGTGGTTGTAGACTTAAAGCTTAAATCCATAAATTTAGAGTTGGTAATTTTGTCTCTGAAGATTAATAATCTGTTTGAAAAGGATTTCAGTAAATTGACTTTCTCAAGCCATTTTAATGCATATTGTAAACATTATTGCAATGTAAAGTAACTGTTTGTTATTTGAATATATTTTTAAATGTAGTTTATTCCTGTGATGTCAAAGCTGAATTTTCAATATCATTCCTCCAGTCTTCAGTGTCTCATCTCACATGATCCTTCAAAAATCATTCTAATTTGCTGCTCAAGAAACATTTCTTATTTTTTGTCAATATTTTGTGGAAACCGTGATTTTTTTTTTTTTTTTAATAGAAAGTTTAGAAGAACAGCATTCATTTAAAATAAATGTTTTCTTTGTGGTAACAAAGTAAAAGTCTTTACAGTCACATTTGATCGATTTAATGCATCCTTGCTTGATAATCTTATTGCATCTTCTTATAATTAAATATATTAAAAACATTCTCTCTGTCCACTTAAAATGAATCTATAACCAAAATGTCCTGCATTCACAGGACTGGCTGAAATGCTTACAGACGTTCTGCAGTAATCTTAGGAAACCCTTACAGACCACATTCAACAAGCGTTTGCGTCAGGTAAGAGAGCGCATCTCGCTGAGTGTTTTCAGGAAACAGTGGCTGTCTTTCCCTTAATCATGAGGTCAGGTGTTCAGATGGCTCTGAATGTGCTATCAGAAGGGCCACAGCTGAACCTTCTAGATGCCGGTGAGCAGGGGGATGAAAACCCCTCTCACAGCACCTGATCCCAGTCAAGCCATTTGGGCTGAATCTAAAAAGAACATCGTAATCTTCATTACCACAGGCATATTTTTGGACAAAGTCTGACATCTCATCACTTATTCATTACGGAGCATGGAAAAATGTAACGTTTGCGTGTCATTCTCACCTTAGGTTAGCAGTTTAGTCCTGTATGTGGAGGAAGCCCACAAACTTCCCATCAAACACTTCACCAACCCCTACTGCAACATCTCTCTGAACAGTGTGCAGGTGGCGAAGACTCACCCTAGAGAGGGACAGAACCCTGTGTTCACTGAAGAGTTCATTTTTGAGTGAGTTCATAGTGACACTCGACTCGTTTTTAAAAGTGCTGCTCGATTAAGATTCTGATTTCTATTCCTTTCTTTCAGTGACCTGTCAAGCGACATCAACAGATTCGAAATAAGCTTAAGCAACAAGACCAAGAAGAGCAAAGAAAGTGACATCTGTGAGTATCATCAACAATTATAGTGATGATTTATTTTTGAGGATACCTTTTAGAGTTAGTGTATCAAGTATCAAGTGTGGATAAAAATATGATTGGGTTAGACGAATGAAATGAGCTGAATGATATAAGACTGATTGTCTGACTGAAGCAAATAGAAAAGGCTACAGTGTATATAGTACTAGGCAGTCTTGGTGTTAAGCACCCAAAAATAAAATGTAATACTTAATCATATTTAAAATTAGGCAGCAAGGCATGTAATGGATCATGAGCTGTCTAAGGTTAAGGAATATTCCTGAAGCTCTGTCTGTCGACAGCATTTGTGGCATAATGTCAGTTACCACAGAAAACTCTTTTTATTTTGGTTCTTGTTGTTACAGTAATGTACTTACAATGATGAGGGTTTAAAAGCACAAATCTAAAACGGGCAACACTTTACAATAAGGTTCATTAGTTTACATTAGTTAATGTATTTACTAACATGCACTAACCATGAGCAATACATTTGTTACTGCATCTTTGTTAATGTTAGTTCATGAAAATACAGCTGTTCATTGTTTGTTCATGTTAGTTCACGGTGCATTAACTAATGTTAACAAGATTTGAATCAAGTATTAGTAAATGTTGAAAATAACATTAACAAAGATTAATAAATGCTGTATATGTGCTATTCATTATTAGTTCATATTAACTAATGTAGTTAACTAATGTTAACTAACGAACCTTATTGTAAAGTGTTACCCTAAAACTTATATTTGTGTTGGACCACTAATAATTAAATTTATTAAAATAAATATTTTTTAATAAAACAGTAATATTGTAAAGTTGTGTCAACAACATAAAATAGCTGTTTTCAATTTTAATATATTTTAAAATGTAATTTATTCCTAAAGATGTATTTTCAGCATCAATTTATTCCTGAAGATATATTTTCAGCATCATTACTTCAGTCTTCTGCGTCACATGTTTAATATATATATTTTTTTTTTATCTGAGATATTATCTGTGGTAATTGTCAGCATGTCTCAGGTGCTCCATACATAGAGCTTAGTTTTTGTTGAACTTGCAACATTCCTTTAATCCCTGTTTTTTTTTTTTTTTCTTTGCACAAGTGCGCCCTCTGCTGGTATTTTGTAGAGCAAAGCACGACGACTACTACTCTTCTCTAATTTGTTTCTCTTCTGTATGTTTTCAGTGTTCATGCGTTGCCAGCTGAGCAAGCTGCAGAGGGGCCAGATGATCGATGAGTGGTTTCCTCTGAGCTCCTATGTCCCGCTGAAGGGAATCGAACCAGGCTCACTCCGCGTAAGAGTGCGATTCTCCATGGAGAAGATCATGCCTGAGGAAGAGTACAGTGAATTCAAAGAAGTGAGTGTGCACATGGTCATTTTTTTACGCACACACAGATGTGGCCTTGTAGTTAATCATACAGGGGTGTGTTTCCGTAAAACAATGCAACTTCCAGCTTAACTCCCATAGTGCGATGCACAATCAAGTAGCTAAGCTTATTTTGCTCAAGATAGGAATTCATTCAGTCCACATGTCATGAAAACAAGAAGCTATGCTTCTAACCACAGGTTATGAGCTCATTGATCTATGCTGATAACGACAGAACTTGCCATCATATAGTTTGCTAATGACGTTTTCGGGAAACGCACCCCATGCTGGTAACAAAAAGAATTAAAACAATTTAACTTTTTTTTTTTTTAATTAAACTTTGCTTGACCTTGAGCTCTGGAAAGGCGCTATATAAATAAAACTTCTTCTTATTGATTCCCAGCTAACAGGGAACATTCTAAAGTTATAAACAAAGATTCTTCCAATTAACTTTAATAGGATGTTTGTTTAAAGTTACCTGGGGCCTGTACCATGATGGTAGTTGGGTGGCTGGATTAGTTTCGAGTTGACAAAACCAAACCAATTCAACCAGGCTTTGTTGGTACCATGATGCTGCTGATCACCAACTTTCTCTGTGAACTCAGGCTTTGATCCTAACTTTAGGAGTTTAGGTGTGACATCAGTAGCAAACAGCCAATCACATGCTGAGTGAAACTCATTCAAAACTCATTAAAATGAATTTCTCGTGAGAGAAGTAGCGCAATTCACTTATTAAGTATTAAAATGTTAAGAATTGAAACAAATTTACACAGCAAGAAGAAAATAGCTGTCTGTGAAAGAGGACAACTAAAAGAAAGTCTCGCTACTGTATATCAGTGCAAATAAAAGTTGTGAAGTTAGTTTATACTGTTGATAAAGGTATAGAGAGAATTGAACATTTTATAGCTTCATTTATTGATTCTAAAGCATATTTATATTACCTTTATATATGTATTCATTTAAAATCTGCATAATAATAATTGTTGAACTGAAATTGTACATGTGAGATCGTTTTAGGGTATAATAATTACAGAAATAATCTCTAATGATTTTGTCTCCTAAAATAATTTGCTGTGGAGTGACTTTATCGCATCATACATGTGTCACCGTGCTCACAGCTGATTGGTCCAAGTTCGGTTTGCAACCTCTTATCCGGAACATAACCTGCTCCGGACCAGGTTAGCCGTAGAGTGTAAGTTACTATGGCGATGAACACTGCTAAAAGCCAAACCACTTTCATGGTACCTAAAACCCAGGGTTGGCACAAACTAAACTGAAAAACATAGCTGGCTAGCCACCTAAAGCGGCTTCATGGTATAGGCCCCGGGTCTTTAATAATATTAACAAAATGTTAGTATTATTTATACATTATTCATGTTTTTTTCCCCCCCAAAACTGTTTTAGTTGGGTCTTTGTTCAGAACATTCAAAAGTAACATTCCCATAATGTTTGCAAAAAGATCAACTGGAATGTTACCTTAATATTTGCTTATCCAAGAAAAAAGTAATCGTGTTTTAAATGTATTTTAAAAACTGGACGTTTTGAACATTCAGAAATAATGTTTTCAGGACTTATCGTGAATCGTGACTGTTAGAAACATTTTCTTAGAGCGTAGTTTTTTTAATAAAGCATCTTTTGCTGACATGTTCCCCAGCTCATCCTGCAGAAAGACTATCATGTGATCTATGCGTTGGCTCACGTTTGTGGGCAGGACCGCACCCTGCTGGCCAGCATCCTGCTCCGGATTTTACGACACGAGCGAGCTGAAGCTCCCTTACTGAGGACGTTGAATGACAGAGAAATTAATATGGAGGGTAGGGCTCTCTCTTTGTATTATTCAAAGTTCAGTATTCAACCACAAACAGATGTCACAGCTGCATCGAGGCTGGGCAGCTTCCCTCAGGCTTGTTCGTCATGGTTTAGCTTTAGAACAAAGCTTCAGTTTTACACAGTTTAAATGAACTGGCTACAGAATTGTTCCTCGCTTGAAAAGGAGAACTGAGCGATCAAACATCATCTTAAAAATGTGCAGTGTGTTCTGAGAAGAGCTCTCACGATACCATTGTTGGTAGTATCGACTTTAATTTGGTTTGTGGATGAATTTACAAACTCAATCATGGTAAAAAGTCTCCCTTATTAATATTAGATTGTGACTTGACCTGCAGGAAGGTTATGAAGCAACAACGGTATGACCTAGTTAAGATTTAAGCTAAGATTCTGCAGTAGTATTCTTAAAATGTCCATCTAATTAATCCATCTTGACAATACTAATTCTGAGTGGATTGGACAGTGTAGTATGGATGTGAAATAATAAACTATTAACCATTGAAATTAATTGCTAAGACTTAAATCGCAGAAAGAACATGGATGAGTCCAAATACCACGTTCATTTAGCACACTTAAGTTAATTAAAAATGAATAGTTCACCCAAAAAATGAATATTTTGTCATAATTTACACGCCCTTAAGTTGTTCAGAACCTGTATGATTTTTTTCTTCTTCTGCTCAACACAAAAGTAGATATTTTGAAGAATATGGGTAGCCAAACACCCACTCAGAAAAAAAATATATACTATGGAAGTCAATGGGGCCCATCAACTGTTTGGTTACCGACATTCTTCAAATTGTTTTGTGTTCAACAGAAGAACGAAATTCATTCAGGTGAACCATCTCTTTAAATTTACACTACAGTTCAGAAGTTTGTGGTCAATAATTATTATTATTATTATTTTTTTTAAGTAATATTAAAGTAATTTTACTTTACAAAGATGCGTTAAATTGATCAATGATGACAGTAAATTTATTTTCACCGAATCAGCATATTGGCATGCTTTCTGATGGAAACAACATGAATTAATTACATTTTAAAATATATTAAAATAGAAAACGTTTATTTTACATTAAAAGAAGTCGTTCCCTAAAGGCTGCATTTATTTGATCAAAAATACAGCCAAAACAGAAAAAAGTCATTTACAAAATCTTACCAGCCACAAAATTTATAACATTAGTGTAATTATAACTTTAATTTTAATTGAGAATAATCATAATATCTGATCATGATAGCATATTAGTCACGTTCCTCTGAATTGTAAAATATTTCAACTGTTTAGTATAAATAAAATGATTAATATAAATATGAATTCTAGCGATGTATAGAAAAGGATGCAGTATTTCAGACATTACTTTTTTTAATCTGCCAATCCCTAAAAATGTAGCTTTTTTTGTTGTTTTGTTTTGGCGTTGCAGATGAAGCCACGACGCTGTTCCGTGCCACTACTCTGGCCAGTACTTTGATGGAACAGTACATGAAGGCCACCGCAACACCTTTCGTCCACCACGCACTCAAAGACTCAATACTGAAGATCATGGAGAGCAAGCAGTCCTGTGAGGTAATGGAACTAAACAGAACATTCGCTGTTAACATCATACAGATCTGTGAACGTTCTGTTCTCCCTGTCCTGATGTTTTGTGTTTAGTATGTCAGAGCCAATTGCGACAACATGAGGTTCTCGCCAAAGCTCCTGCCTTGAGCAAATTGGCTTTTGTCAGGTTTCTGTTGGATGGTGAATAAACTGAACTAACAGTCAGAATCCTTTTCCCTCATGTGGAATGTTTTCTGGTCTCCCTCTAGCTGAACCCATCTAAACTGGAGAAGAATGAGGATGTTAATCTGAATCTAGCTCATTTACTCAACATCCTGTCGGAGCTGGTGGAGAAGATATTTATGGCTGCTGAGATCTTGCCCCCGTAAGCATGATAGCACACCACCACCATATAGAGTGTCCTAGCAGCATTACTGCCTTGTCATTACTATTTTAAGTACAAAACTGTGTAGGAATGCCAAAATGTATCTGTATCATCAACAGTTATCGATCAATTTTTATTATTTATATATTGGGGTGTAACGGTACACAGGAGCCACGGTTCAGTGAGTACTTCGGTTTTGGGGTGACGGTTTTACTTCGGTTTTGGGGTCATATGAGTTCGGTACAACAGGAAAAAAGCCACAAATCCCCAATGCCAGGCTTTTTTTAATTTATTTTGAACAGACAGTCGTGCCAATGACAGTTTTCCACCTAGTGGCATTTAGTCCACCCTGAGGTAGTGTAGTACAGGCTCCTTTAGTGTATTAAGTATTAAGAGTGCATTCGGTTTACCAAACAGAAAACCGAATGCACTCTTGCATAGGTCTTTTTTTTTTTTGTAGTGAAAAAAAACAAACAAACAAACAAACAAAAAAAAACCTAAAGTTATTTGGTCACAATCAGCTATAAAACTGAAAGGTCTCTCTTGTGTGTTAGAAACGTACAAAATAAATAGAAGAATGAAAAGTAAAACTTGTGCTGAGATTAGGTTCTTCACTCTTGTAGTCTTTTTCTGCCTAGCTTCGGTGATTGGCACATCTGGATGATGTCGTCTGCCCACTACCCTCCTTATTATTACACTGGAAATAACTTTAAAATACTCATACACTACAGATAAGAGTAATACATAATTCAAAATTGGGTCCATTTTTATTTGTGTACACGCACAGTAAAAACAAAACATTGTGCTTTTGTAAAATAAAGAAAAAACAATCAGGATGTCGCTTTTTGCCATCCCGGTTTCCTTTCCGTGAAGTTAGTGTAAAGTCCTTTCATTTTCTGGTGTGGCGGTTAGCATACAGCGTTGCATTACCTTGTGCGCCCCCTTCTGGATTGGAGTGTGGATTGCCTCTGTCTGACTGTTTGGGACAAATACATGGAGTTACACCCCTAATGTATAGATTTAGATATAAATTATTGGTAAATATTGGTTAAGATCAGATATTTAATTGATAGTTTGTTGGAGTTCTCTTGCCATCATCTGGTGCTCATTAAATTGGTCAGTGAAAAAATATTACTTTAAAGTAGTATTTTAAAGTAAAGATTAATTTACGATTAAGAGCATTATTTCTTGAACAGCAATTTGGTTATACATGAACAGAAAGGTGTTGAAGTCGGAAGAATCATTTAATGTTTTGAAAGACGTTTTAGGCTGTTTTTTTTTTTTTTTTTTAAATTAAAATACATTAAAAACAGTTATATTGTAAAATATAATTGCAATTTGAAATAACTCCAACAAATTAACAAAAATGTGCCTGCAAAATCTAACTGCAACAAAAAAAATCCTAACAAAACTCATAAAAGATCATAAAAAAGTAACAATTAAAAATATTTTTTAGACAGATTTGTAAAACTTCAGCCATAATATGTAAATAACCATCTTCTAAAATAACTATAACATCATATTGGGCAAAGTTTTTTATATCAGTGCATACCTACTGTATTATCATCCTGTCCATGTAGTGCTATATTGATATTTTTTTTACATTTATTCTTTATGGTACTGTTCTGTTTTTGCAGTCTTTAGTATTCATAGTTTGTTTGTTTCCTCCCTGTCCCAAGGACCCTGAGGTACATTTATGGCTGTCTTCAGAAGTCTGTGCAGCAGAAATGGCCTACCAACACTACAATGAGGACCCGAGTCGTGAGGTAGCAAGTTGTAAAGCTACATTTGCTCATGTTTACAGAGGAACATCTTGCGAAGTGCCAAAATGTGTTTGTGTCTGTCCCCCAGTGGTTTCGTCTTCCTGAGGCTCATCTGCCCTGCCATTCTCAACCCCAGAATGTTCAACATCATCGCTGGTGAGTGCACAGCTTGCATCACAAGCTCCATTTTCCAGATGCAATACATTTAGGTCTAAGTACCCACTCAGATATTTTATTCTGCACCTGTTAGAGCTTCAGTCTGATAGAAGAGCACTTAACGGTCCAAATGTGTAAACGCATAAACATATTCATAGTGACAGTCGACAGGCTATTTCCTATTTTTATATGAAAGTGGACATTGGCACATCAAAAAAAAAAAAAAAAAAAAAAAAAAAAAAAAAGAATTGATGTATTTTTCAAATTTAATTGTAATGCAGTTTGAATGCAATGTACATGTACTGTTGGCTAAAATATGACACGGCAAAAATAATTCTGCAATATGTTGTTTTTTATAAGATATGTTCAAAGACAATGCCAAAAAAACAAACAACAAACATAGTTTTAGTTGACTTCTAAACAAATGAAAAATACAGCTTGAGCATACTAATTCTAAACCTCTTATTTCGGACATGAAATATAGGATTTATGTCTCATGACCTTATGGGGAGCTCAAGGCTGCATTTAAGCAACGTCACATGATGTGCATGTTGTGCTGAATATCACTGTTGTATTGAAGTGTTCACATAAATGAATGTTTATACATTTTGGAAACTTTCGGTTCAGACGTTACTGTTAAAAGTTTGGGGTCAGTATGTTTTTTGGGTTTGTTTTTTTTTTATTTTGAAAGACAAATAGTTTCACTTTTACTGAATAAATGTATTAAATACATAAAATGGTTACATTTCTATTCAATTATTTCAAATAAATGCTGTTATTTTGAACTTTTTATTCATTCATTCTTGAGCAGAAAATCATCATATCAGAATGATTTCTGAAGGATCATGTGACACTGAAGACTAAAGTAATGTAGCTTTGACATCACAGGAATAAATTACACTTTAAAATATATAAATATATATAGTTCCTAATCTGACAGTATTTGATTTGGGATGCAGCGCAAGTCTTTTTTTTTTTTTTTTTTTTTTTTTTTTGAAACTGACCATATTGTAAACCTATAGCCTGGATGCCAGCCCGAACTCCGCCCACAACATTTTTTGGTCGGGAAGTTCGGTCTGGACTCGATCCATTGAGGAGTAACTATGATTAGGCAAAAAATGATCGGGCCAATCAAATTGCCAGGGCGGGCTTTATACGATGATGGACAGGTGATCTGCAAGGACGTAATCATCACGTTATCAAAGAGCGCTTGTCAAAGGTGACTGCAGCTGGAGAATTGAGATGTATAGATTCCGCTGTCGCGTCTGTTGTGAAATAAATCGACAGCGCAATAATTTTAATAGACGAACAGAAAACTGCAATCAAGGAATTTGTCGATCGGAAAGATATTTTTGCCGCCCTCCCTACATGATTCGGGAAAAGTGTAACTTATCAGCTGGCTCTGATGGTCGTTAAGAAGATGGGACGTAATGAAAAGCCTGTGGTCGTTGTGGTTTCTCCTTTTGTCGCACTCATGGAGGAGTAAGTAAAAGAAGCAAAACTCGTTATTTAACTTATAAAATAAGTAAAGTTAGCCTACGTTCTGTAGTTGACAACTGTATGCAAAGTATTTGACTTACTGCGTTGCTCTGATTGGTTGTAGGTTTACCGACTATCCAATTGAGTGCAGTTTTGTTTTTTTTCCTGGTTCAGTTAAGACGCGCCTCATAATCAAAGCCCTACGGAGCAGTTTCAGACTCGTATTCCGACAAGTACATGAGCATAACGAAGTCAGGCTAGTAAACATAGTTAAAACTGCTAGTTTAGTATGATATAATTAACGATGATGAAAATGTGTTTTGTTTTTGCAGACCCTCCATCCTCCACAGCAGGTCGAACGCTCACCCTGGTAGCAAAGTCTGTGCAGAACTTGGCCAACCTGGTGGAATTTGGCGCCAAGGTGTTTTGATTTTCACGCTGTGTTAGAAAATGAGTTACCCTGAAAAGGCGTCAAAGAGTGTGTGAATGCTAATGTTACAGCAGTTGGAATATCATCGTTTGTTGTGATGTGTTTGTGTTGCAGGAGCCCTACATGGAAGGGGTGAATCCTTTCATCAAGAACAACAAACAAAGGATGATCATGTTTCTGGATGAGCTAGGGGTAAACTGCCTTGTATCCATTTTTAAAGCAGCATGGGTTGCCTGAAACTCTGTTTATGAGCTCTGTGTGATGTAGCTTTTCTATAACATTCTCTCTGTGCTGTTTCTCCAGAATGTTCCTGATCTCCCGGAATCTACCGAGCACTTTAGGACTGATTTGTCCCGTGACCTTGCTGCCCTGCATGAGATCTGTGCTACTCATTCTGACGAACTCCGCACCCTCAGCAACGAGAGAGGAGCACAGCAGGTATGTCGCTCTCTCTTATCATACACGATAGTACGAAATATATAAGACATGACTTGCACTCAGCCGGGACCCTGACATGAATGTATTGACTGACTTTTTGTTATCATGCTTATTACACAGTTTAGCAGTCATAATGTAGACATGTACCACTGAATGTCTTGATTGGCCAATTAGAATCAAGTATTACAAAGAGCCATCTGATGATAATGTACATTCAATTTACAAAATCAGCGTAATATTCAGTGCAGATAGAAAGAACTTCTTGGTCTTACATATATCTTTTTAATAAATATATTATATATTGTGGCTTTAAAGATTGTAAAACAAGCTCACATTGTTTTTTTGACCAGCGAAGTTTTGTCTTTCATTAGAACGGCTGCATCTGAGGCAGAAAGTGCATCGCATTGTTTTCGTCAACTTACAGGTTTTAAAGTTTAATTTATGTGGTTACTCTGTGGTTTTTCTGTCATTTGGCCAGCATCTCATAATTTTAAAGATGAAGTGCTACGCACAGGCTATTTAAGGCAGTACTGGCTATGGCTCGACAACATGTGCTAGACTAAGACGCTCTTCTCTGCTCCTCAAATACATAAAACATTAGCCTTCAAATATAGTGTTTTTGAGTTGAGTTTTGAGAGTTTTTGAGTTGAGTTGAGAGAGTTTTAATTTATTTTTTGATAAAGAACCAGTTTACCCTGCCATTGCAAACAAGCAGAGACGGCCCAAACTGCGTGTGGCACTTTATTCATGATGGGGGCTGTTATGAGGTTTTACTGACAGTTTGTGGATCTAATGGAGTATAAAGGTTCTTTCAAAAGCTCTTTTTAATATTTTTTTAAGTGACTGCTGTCGCTGGTGGGTTTTCTAAATTGCTTTCTCAGAAATTCTGCTTGTAGCTGTCGATAGCTTTATTTTTCTGCCCTGTCCAGGTAGTGTAAACACTGTTCTTTAACTTTGAACGTGCGAAGTATGCTTTTCAAAAGGTGTCTCTGGGAACATTTAGTATCTTTGTTTATATTTTTTTGCATCCTGTTCAGTATGTCATCTGTTCTAGCTCATGCACACCTGTGCAACTGATGAAGCCTTGATAAGTTGCCATCAGGTGCAGAGCCGCTTGCAGAAACAAACCAATGGAGGGCATTTAATATTGTAGGGGGGGCCTAATTATGACATCCAATACATTTTTCTATAGGAAAAAACCAACTATTACGCCGATTTCAAGTACCAGGCGTAATTTGCGGGTGGGATATGTCCCACCGTCGATATTGTACCCACCACTTTTGAAACATTCCGGCACGAATGTACCAATACAAATAAACAAAACATCTTCAGTTAACTAGCAGAGCATTCGTTTCGTTAGTTTTTTTTAAATAAGAGACGATCTAGCGCTGAAATGTGTTTTTTAAAATCAAACTGTTCAAATTAATGCTCGTTGCGGCTGGCGCGGATAGGCTAATGTGTTTTTTTTATTGGCTTGCGCACAGTCTTCACTCGGACGCGCAATCCGTTGTGGAGAGACTCTATTCATTACGGTGAAATTAAAACACAAAATGTTCTGAAGATGTTTTGTCTGTGCCTGATATACAACCACTGATAAACATAATCAGTTTTGATGGAAAAAAAATGGAAAAAAAAACCCCAGAATCTCTGGCACGCTTGGCAAAAGTTCTACCCCTGGACCATTATTTACATTCACGTTTAATACAAATATAAAGGCGTAATTGAACGACCACATAAACCTAAATCAATAACTATTTAAATCGATTAAAGGATATCGTAATGTTATTGTACATATCTGTTTTATGATTTAGCATTGTGTCAGGGCTGGTGCAACTTAAGAAGAGTACTAAAAATAACTGGCCCACTCATGTTCTTAATACAGCTGAAGTCGACGTTTTTGGAAGTGGAATCTCCGCTTGAGTTATTCAATACATTATTTTTATTTTTAAAATAAATTTCTTTTTAAAATTTATTAATTGCAAATTGCATGGAGAGGGGGGCACAGGCGCTCGGTAGGCGGGCCCGGCCCCCTAAGGCCCGCCCATAGCGCGGGTATGGCCATGAGACTTAGACCTGAGTGCAAAAATGGAGGCTCTAGCCCCTTCCAGAGCTGAGATATCGAAACTCAAAAATCGGCCCGAAAAAAAACGACAGTGGTACCCCTTACGTTTTTTTTTTTTTTTTTTGGGGGAAAATTAAGTTTCTCCAATCTTCCCAAAACTCTGGATTCTGATAGAGGGCATGAGACTTAGACCTGAGTGCAAAAATGGAGGCTCTAGCCCCTTCCAGAGCTGAGATATCGAAACTCAAAAATTCGGCCCGAAAAAAAAAACGACAGTGGTACCCCTTACGTTTTTTTTTTTTGGCGAAAAATTAAGTTTCTCCAATCTTCCAAAACTCTGGATTCTGATAGAGGGCCATGAGACTTAGACCTGAGTGCAAAAATGGAGGCTCTAGCCCCTTCCAGAGCTGAGATATCGAAACTCAAAAATTCGGCCCGAAAAAAACGACAGTGGTACCCCTTACGTTTTTTTTTTTTTGGCGAAAAATTAAGTTTCTCCAATCTTCCCAAAACTCTGGATTCTGATAGAGGGCCATGAGACTTAGACCTGAGTGCAAAAATGGAGGCTCTAGCCCCTTCCAGAGCTGAGATATCGAAACTCAAAAATTCGGCCCGAAAAAAAAACGACAGTGGTACCCCTTACGTTTTTTTTTTTTGGGCGAAAAATTAAGTTTCTCCAATCTTCAAACTCTGGATTCTGATAGAGGGCCATGAGACTTAGACCTGAGTGCAAAAATGGAGGCTCTAGCCCTTCCAGAGCTGAGATATCGAAACTCAAAAATTCGGCCCGAAAAAAAAAAACGACAGTGGTACCCCTTACGTTTTTTTTTGGGCGAAAAATTAAGTTTCTCCAATCTTCAAAACTCTGGATTCTGATAGAGGGCCATGAGACTTAGACCTGAGTGCAAAAATGGAGGCTCTAGCCCCTTCCAGAGCTGAGATATCGAAACTCAAAAATTCGGCCCGAAAAAAAACGACAGTGGTACCCCTTACGTTTTTTTTTTTTGGCGAAAAATTAAGTTTCTCCAATCTTCCAAAACTCTGGATTCTGATAGAGGGCCATGAGACTTAGACCTGAGTGCAAAAATGGAGGCTCTAGCCCCTTCCAGAGCTGAGATATCGAAACTCAAAAATTCGGCCCGAAAAAAAAACGACAGTGGTACCCCTTACGTTTTTTTTTTTTGGGCGAAAAATTAAGTTTCTCCAATCTTCCAAAACTCTGATTCTGATAGAGGGCCATGAGACTTAGACCTGAGTGCAAAAATGGAGGCTCTAGCCCCTTCCAGAGCTGAGATATCGAAACTCAAAAATTCGGCCCGAAAAAAAACGACAGTGGTACCCCTTACGTTTTTTTGGAAAAATTAAGTTTCTCCAATCTTCCCAAAACTCTGGATTCTGATAGAGGGCCATGAGACTTAGACCTGAGTGCAAAAATGGAGGCTCTAGCCCCTTCCAGAGCTGAGATATCGAAACTCAAAAATTCGGCCCGAAAAAAAAACGACAGTGGTACCCTTACGTTTTTTTTTTTTTTGGCGAAAAATTAAGTTTCTCCAATCTTCCCAAAACTCTGGATTCTGATAGAGGGCCATGAGACTTAGACCTGAGTGCAAAAATGGAGGCTCTAGCCCTTCCAGAGCTGAGATATCGAAACTCAAAAATTCGGCCCGAAAAAAAAAACGACAGTGGTACCCCTTACGTTTTTTTTTTTTGGGGCGAAAATTAAGTTTCTCCAATCTTCCCAAAACTCTGGATTCTGATAGAGGGCCATGAGACTTAGACCTGAGTGCAAAAATGGAGGCTCTAGCCCCTTCCAGAGCTGAGATATCGAAACTCAAAAATTCGGCCCGAAAAAAAAACGACAGTGGTACCCCTTACGTTTTTTTTTTGGGGCGAAAAATTAAGCTCAATCTCCAAAACTCTGGATTCTGATAGAGGGCCATGAGACTTAGACCTGAGTGCAAAAATGGAGGCTCTAGCCCTTTCCAGAGCTGAGATATCGAAACTCAAAAATTCGGCCCGAAAAAAAAACGACAGTGGTACCCCTTACGTTTTTTTTTTGGGCGAAAAATTAAGTTTCTCCAATCTTCCCAAACTCTGGATTCTGATAGAGGGCATGAGACTTAGACCTGAGTGCAAAAATGGAGGCTCTAGCCCCTTCCAGAGCTGAGATATCGAAACTCAAAAATTCGGCCCGAAAAAAAAACGACAGTGGTACCCCTTACGTTTTTTTTTTGGGCGAAAAATTAAGTTTCTCCCATCTTCCAAAACTCTGGATTCTGATAGAGGGCCATGAGACTTAGACCTGAGTGCAAAAATGGAGGCTCTAGCCCCTTCCAGAGCTGAGATATCGAAACTCAAAAATTCGGCCCGAAAAAAAACGACACAGTGGTACCCCTTACGTTTTTTTTTTTTGGCGAAAAAATTAAGTTTCTCCAATCTTCCAAAACTCTGGATTCTGATAGGGGCATGAGACTTAGACCTGAGTGCAAAAATGGAGGCTCTAGCCCCTTCCAGAGCTGAGATATCGAAACTCAAAAATTGGCCCGAAAAAAAAACGACAGTGGTACCCCTTACGTTTTTTTTTTTGGGCGAAAAATTAAGTTTCTCCAATCTTCCCAAACTCTGGATTCTGATAGAGGGCCATGAGACTTAGACCTGAGTGCAAAAATGGAGGCTCTAGCCCTTCCAGAGCTGAGATATCGAAACTCAAAAATTCGGCCCGAAAAAAAAAACGACAGTGGTACCCCTTACGTTTTTTTTTTTGGGCGAAAAATTAAGTTTCTCCAATCTTCAAAACTTCTGGATTCTGATAGAGGGCCATGAGACTTAGACCTGAGTGCAAAAATGGAGGCTCTAGCCCCTTCCAGAGCTGAGATATCGAAACTCAAAAATTCGGCCCGAAAAAAAAACGACAGTGGTACCCCTTACGTTTTTTTTTTTTGGGCGAAAAATTAAGTTTCTCCAATCTTCCCAAACTCTGGATTCTGATAGAGGGCCATGAGACTTAGACCTGAGTGCAAAAATGGAGGCTCTAGCCCTTCCAGAGCTGAGATATCGAAACTCAAAAATTCGCCCGAAAAAAAAACGACAG